ATTAAAGTCCTCTAAATTCAGGATATGAGTGAAACCGAGATGAGTAGAGCGGGATAGTCCTTCCAGCATACGACTGTCATACTCGATGTCGGCAGTGGGCTTCCTATATATGACTCCGGCAAGACACCTCGAAGTAGTAGACAATCTTACAGACCCAATATACAATGACGTAGACACAACCTTGTGTAAACCGATTGACTTCTTTGTACTCGCTTCTGATTGCTTCGGTACGGATCCAAGTATTTGATGATGAATAATAAGTAATAGCCTAGACACTTGACGGCACCAATTTTGGTCATTTTGGGAGATATTTGTAGATATCTTGTATATCTTGTAGTTTGAGTGAATGTCTTAGAACAGTAGCGTTTCATGATACCAGCAGCCATCATATCATCAGGCAGGATGTTATTTAATTGCAGTATGGAAAAAATGACGTCATTATTGGAGTGCTGAAACGTTAGTGTTCCAAGAAATTGTAGTGACCTACTTTTACCAAGAGAACGCAATTGATTTAGTTGAAACAATTATTATTATGACCAATTGTACTAGTGACTGTTTTACTGTGCTCGTTTGTTTAACTGTGCTAAAGACAGCCATATTGCTCTTCCATTATTCTCCATTACTGTTTCGCCGTTCGTGAGTCCGTTCGCACGTACTTTCTCCTACCGATTCCGCTTGTACCTTTTCTTGGCACGATCTCGGTATTCATTCGACACCACGAGATCACCAACTAAATAAACTTGGCTCCAATCCGCATTCGCCTTCTGATTTATTTGGCACGTGTTTCTTTGTGGTGGTGTTCATAGTGAACTGGGACTCGACACCACGCTACAAAATAAATAAATAATTTACTTAATTAGTAATGTGTAAAAGAAGGATGAAATTGCCCCAAGTATTCGGAGCTTGACAACACCTTAATCAGTAACAACATTTATAATCGAAACATGCAAACCTAATGAAATCAGAACTCAGAAGCAAAGAGGTTCGAAGGAAAATTTAATAGAGTATCGATGTATCGCGATGTGACTAACCCAAGCTGGCTAGTGATTGTAAAAGATATGAAGCACAGTGTACCCACTCATGATCTTGTGCGGATTCGTTACCAAGTGCCTTCATTTATGTGATTCCAGTAAAACTAGTTCGGTCAGCATCAAATGTCGATGTCTTACAGAACTTTTGATTTTGGAAATTCATTTGCTGCTACAAGGATGTTGAAATGGTGATGAAGTATAGTCACAGAATGCTATAAAAGTGAAAAAATGGAAAGTTTGGGCTAAATTGTGCAGGAGTTTTCACCAATGGTGTGTTGAAGTTAAGTTAAATATATAATAGCAACGATATTATGAGGCTGATCAGAAGGCAGTACATGGTTACGAAGCAGTTTATGATGCACAGCAATTAAATTACGATACACTAAAAGTTCCAGTATGACAAGTTAATAGTTGAAAGATAAAATTAAGGATTATCAGCCCGTCGAGAATCGGGAGACAGAAGCTATGAGTGTTAAGGCTAGAACTTATGGTTAACATTGTTAGGATTAAGAATGTAGGGTCAGTGAAACGTCATTGGTTCCTTGTCAACTCACATGACAGTCAAATTACTGAATGTTGTACATTTTACCAACCACCGGCGAGGTTAAGGACAGCTAACACACATCGAGCAATTGTACGCTACACACTGGCTTGTTTTCAGTAGTCGCACCCTGTTTCATACGCCTGTTTTTATTAGTGCATTCCAGTAACGTCGTTCTGTTTTCCCCATACGGTCATCAAAGTAGCTTCAGTACTTGCATGCGACGAAAACGTAGTCTATATTAGGTATAGAGTGCAATGTATTACTCTGACGTGGGCATAGAGGTCATACAATTCCCGTTCAACCCTAGCAGATCGCCAATCATCGAAACCGGTTATCAGTCTTGGTGATCTAAAAGAGCGAGTAAGACTTTGTGGAGGTAGTTGACACAAACTTGTTGTGTGGCGTCGAGTCGTGGTTGGCTATGATCACCACCACTGGAAGACTGCGTGCCAGTTAACCGATAAGATACCCCGTAGGTCAAATATCAGAAGGCAGTTGATGGCTGTAGTCGAGATCTATTTTTGTTGGCGGTCTCGTGGTATCAAAGAAATACCGAGATCGTGCCAGGTTACAAGTGGGGTTACTGAGCGTAACCGAATTCGTGCAAGATCACAATCAACGGAAGAATGTATGTATTTTGGTACAGTTAAACAAACAAGTATGGTAAAACAATCCCTGGAACAATTCGTTATAATAATAACTGTTTCCATTACACCAATCGCTATTTCTTGATAAAAGTAGGTCACTATAAACTTATTTGGTAATTTGTTTTTATTGTTAGTTGTTTGCTCTTCGTTTCGCATAATTTGTACGCTTACCATTACTGACTGTAAAATTTTTATTTAAAAGAACTTGACATTGATCTTTCGTTCCCACTTTGTACTATCGTAACATGAGAAATCAAGTGCCTCTAACAAAACACTGCTGCACTCACATACTGCGCGTTCCCACTAATCAGCTGTTACGATAAAAGAACTCTGATGTACTTGCTATTTTTACTGATGGTATTGATATTCTCACTACATGATTACTCTGGATACACAATTGGATTACATCAAACATATTTGGAATCAATGACTACTTATAACAGTGTAGTATGAGACCAAAAACAATCCGAACACATCTTCCGATAATTAAATTACCGTCCGGTATTTTTATTTGTGTATAATCCATATTTCAGTATATTAACGTGCTAATGTTTTTCGTAAAAACCAGATCATTATTTTGAAAATGGTCCACCATAACCCTAAATAACGCAAATTAATATGATTGTTATCTCTATTTAAGTGTAAGTTTGTATATTACAGTAAACATTCCCTGCTAAATCTCGATGTTGATAAGTATTCAAACCTTACTAACTAGCTCAGTTACTGAACATAACTAGTCAACTAAGATTATAATCAGCAATAATGGTTCGTTAACAAGCGTTAACAGAAGGCAAGTGCTCCTGTGTTGTATGTCTGCTAAAATATCAACCACTTGGAAGTATTACCATTCAGCAATGCGAATGCACATCTATCTGCACATCATTCACCACCATCCTAGGTTTTAAGAGGATTGTCTATCCGACCACTGATAGGTGTTTGGCCTGAACTATTTTTTCACCTATACCAAAACATTCTGCGAATCCAGGAGGTAACTCTGTAACAGCTTAGGTTGGTTGGTTAGGAGTTGACCCCAAATAACCAAGCATATGCCTGAACAGTATAGTTCAAGTATTTATTTACTTCCTTAATTTGTATAGGTGTTATATTCCCTATTATGTTATGTTGAATGTTGAGAGGTTTTGTTTGTCTGAATAATTAACTCCACCCTCCACTGTCTCCTGACGCCGTCGAAGCTATTAAACAGCTTAAAGATAAACTGGCTCAAGCAACTACGTTGATTTATCCGAATTCTCTTTCCCCACTGGCTTTGATGGCGGATGCTTCAGATAAAGCAGTAGGCGTTACCCCTAACCAACTGGTTAAAAACGCCTGGAAACCAATTGCTTTCTTCTCGAAAAGACTCGCTCCAGCAGAGACAAGGTATTCTCCCTTCGGCGAGAACTTCCTGCAATCTACCTAACAATTAAACATTTCCGACACATGTTAGAAGGCAGGGAATTTATAGTCTTTACGGATCTTAAACCACTAACGAATGAACTAAAAGCGAGAGCTGATAAATACTCACCTCGATAAGTCCGACACCTTGACTATATGTCACAGTTCACGAGCGATATCAGGACAATCGGGCGGCAGATGCTTTATCTAGGCTAGAAATGAATGTTCTACAGCAGTCTACAGTAAACTTCGAGACGTGGAGACACGAACAAGAGCAGAATCTAGAATTACAAAACCTGCTTAAATCAAACAATTTAAGTCTTAATTTAAAACAGTTCCCATCACCTGTCGATGGTATTCTAATCTACTGTGACACGACCAAGGCAATGCCGCGACCTTTCGTTCCAAAAGTATGCGAAATTTGATATATAATAACTGTAAGATCCATTTTGAAGGTTTTGTGTGTTGGTGAAAATCCCTCCATGTATATACTTGTACTTTATTCCTATTGATCGCATTAGTTGTACATTGTTGTATTTTGATTACATTTGAATTGTTGATATTTGTATTTTTGTTATAGTTTTTGTTTTTATTACGCATTCACTAAGTTTGTGTTTCTTCCTGAACTGCATCTGCGTTGTTTTACTTGACACTTGTTCTTGGCGGTAGCCATATTGATTTGTTCCTCCTGTTGTGTGTGATCTATCCAGTCAGGATAGAATAACGTTCATTTGTTGTGATTGGTAATTTTCCTCATCTTCTATCAACTTCTTTATTTATTGTAATTTAGATTTAATTGATTGAACAATCATTGGTTGAATAGCCGGGTGATAATATTTGTTTAGGTAATGATTTACATTAAATTTATTATGAATTATAGAACCGCTATTTACCCGATTACTTGTTCTGATTTCGACGGGAAAGGGCGCGTGTCTAAAGTCACGGAAGGCTATTCTTCAACATCCAAACCGTAGTTTGGATCCTACATAACTTTCATTCTTTGTCTCATCCTGACGCAAAAGCTTCAACTAAATTAATCAATGCCAGATATATATGGCCGAATTAACAGACGGATGTACACAAGTGGGTTAGAGAGTGTTCAGCATGCCAACAATCAAAGGTTAATCGTCACACAAATTCACCCATAGGTGTTTTGTCGCAACCAGATGCACGTTTTGTCCATGTGCACATCGACTTGGTAGGTCCTTTACCACGTTCAAACGGTTTTAATTATCTTTTTACATGCATAGATCGATTTACCAGATTCCCTATAGCCATCCCGATAGCGGACATCACAGCGGAAACAGTAGCCAAAGTTTTCATGCAGAACTGGGTAACCATTTTTGGTACACTGTGGTGTTTGAATTAACTAATGATTCTTTTGTACTTGTTGAATGCTCGATTTCGAATTCTAAATACAGTACATTCGTTGTGCCTGTGTCTTCTTAATTCAATTGCGTTAATCCTGGGATTCCTAATTCATACTATAATTAGAATACTATATTGGCGTCGCGATGGAGCCTGCAATGGAAAAGTTAGATATTCATTCAACTTCAGAAGCTTTTGAAGATTACTTTGAAAGGTTCGAAATCTGGGCTATGACCAAGGAAGATGATGAGGATGTTAATATTGTGGCACACTTCCTCACATTCATTGGAAAAGAAGCATACAGCTTATTAAGAACTCTGGCTATGCCGGAAAAACCCATTTCGCTTTCTTATACAGCTCTCAAGGATCTACTGCTAGACTATGCTCAGTATACAAATTTCAAATGTCGTAAAGGAGGAAGATTTCGTAAAATGATTCATGAGGATATAAAAAAGTCCACTACATTACTACGTCATCTCAACCTAGTGCATACTCAAGGTTATGCAGACAATTCATTGAATTTGGATGCAGTTCACGAGGATGGGGACAAGTTTGGTCAGTGTTTGTCCTGTTGCAAGTTCCACTCTTCTAATTCATGTAAATTTCATAATTCTAAATGCTTCAAATGTCGTGATATTGGACAAGTTCAGTCAGTTTGTAATGCTAATGTTCATCTTACTGCAATTAATATTAAGTCTTGTAATTCTGATTCTACTGAGTCGAGTCTTCATGATGATCATTTATCTTTATCAACGATTTCAAAAGACAGTGCAGAGTCATATGGCAGTTCAGAGTTAAATGAAATCCAGAATTCTTGTGAGACAACATTTCCTAATCAACCGATTTATCAGAATTCTCATGCTATTGTACCAAGTATGACTTTTCCTAATGATTCACATATTTCTAATGAAATTACTTGCAATTCTGAGGAAAATATGTTAAATGAACCTAATCATGATCGAAAACCTGATGTGGTTTGGATAGATGCTGATTTCTCTAACGATCCTACGCTCTGCAACGACAGTCCTGATGAATTTCATGAGCATATTTCAGAAGAATCAAATCCTGATGTCATATCATATATTACCTATCCTCATAATGTATTTGATCTTCGTGAAAAACCTGCCCAATGCGAAGCACGAGTACTAAGTGACCTCGAGTTTTATTATATTTCGGATGATTTCATATCAACTGCTGTTTACTCTTATCACAAAAACAGTTCTAATGTTTACTCTAAACAATGTGAGATATATGTTTTAAATGAAGCCACATTATTCATAACTTGGGAGTATAAAGATCCAACATTATTTCGTGGGGGGGGGGATAGTGTTGAAAAATCTATGGTTCGAATTCTAGATATTAATGATTTCATTACAAAACCGACATGCTGGTTGTATACAATTCCAGGTGAGTCTGTTCCGATTTCGTTTGTTAATTCCAATACTAATGAGCACTTTCTAGATACTACAAAGTTTTTATCTTATACAATGTCGGACAGACTCAGGATGAACTTAACAAGAAGACGTACAACCGATTACAAACACTTATACTTCTATTTAAGCTGTGGCGGATGTGGTGTTTGAATTAACTAATGATTCTTTTGTACTTGTTGAATGCTCGATTTCGAATTCTAAATACAGTACATTCGTTGTGCCTGTGTCTTCTTAATTCAATTGCGTTAATCCTGGGATTCCTAATTCATACTATAATTAGAATACTATATTGGCGTCGCGATGGAGCCTGCAATGGAAAAGTTAGATATTCATTCAACTTCAGAAGCTTTTGAAGATTACTTTGAAAGGTTCGAAATCTGGGCTATGACCAAGGAAGATGATGAGGATGTTAATATTGTGGCACACTTCCTCACATTCATTGGAAAAGAAGCATACAGCTTATTAAGAACTCTGGCTATGCCGGAAAAACCCATTTCGCTTTCTTATACAGCTCTCAAGGATCTACTGCTAGACTATGCTCAGTATACAAATTTCAAATGTCGTAAAGGAGGAAGATTTCGTAAAATGATTCATGAGGATATAAAAAAGTCCACTACATTACTACGTCATCTCAACCTAGTGCATACTCAAGGTTATGCAGACAATTCATTGAATTTGGATGCAGTTCACGAGGATGGGGACAAGTTTGGTCAGTGTTTGTCCTGTTGCAAGTTCCACTCTTCTAATTCATGTAAATTTCATAATTCTAAATGCTTCAAATGTCGTGATATTGGACAAGTTCAGTCAGTTTGTAATGCTAATGTTCATCTTACTGCAATTAATATTAAGTCTTGTAATTCTGATTCTACTGAGTCGAGTCTTCATGATGATCATTTATCTTTATCAACGATTTCAAAAGACAGTGCAGAGTCATATGGCAGTTCAGAGTTAAATGAAATCCAGAATTCTTGTGAGACAACATTTCCTAATCAACCGATTTATCAGAATTCTCATGCTATTGTACCAAGTATGACTTTTCCTAATGATTCACATATTTCTAATGAAATTACTTGCAATTCTGAGGAAAATATGTTAAATGAACCTAATCATGATCGAAAACCTGATGTGGTTTGGATAGATGCTGATTTCTCTAACGATCCTACGCTGTGCAACGACAGTCCTGATGAATTTCATGAGCATATTTCAGAAGAATCAAATCCTGATGTCATATCATATATTACCTATCCTCATAATGTATTTGATCTTCGTGAAAAACCTGCCCAATGCGAAGCACGAGTACTAAGTGACCTCGAGTTTTATTATATTTCGGATGATTTCATATCAACTGCTGTTTACTCTTATCACAAAAACAGTTCTAATGTTTACTCTAAACAATGTGAGATATATGTTTTAAATGAAGCCACATTATTCATAACTTGGGAGTATAAAGATCCAACATTATTTCGTGGGGGGGGGATAGTGTTGAAAAATCTATGGTTCGAATTCTAGATATTAATGATTTCATTACAAAACCGACATGCTGGTTGTATACAATTCCAGGTGAGTCTGTTCCGATTTCGTTTGTTAATTCCAATACTAATGAGCACTTTCTAGATACTACAAAGTTTTTATCTTATACAATGTCGGACAGACTCAGGATGAACTTAACAAGAAGACGTACAACCGATTACAAACACTTATACTTCTATTTAAGCTGTGGCGGATGTGGTGTTTGAATTAACTAATGATTCTTTTGTACTTGTTGAATGCTCGATTTCGAATTCTAAATACAGTACATTCGTTGTGCCTGTGTCTTCTTAATTCAATTGCGTTAATCCTGGGATTCCTAATTCATACTATAATTAGAATACTATATACACCCATAACAATAACGACGGATAGAGGAGCGCAATTCGATTCCGAACTATTTAATAACTTGGCTAAACTTCTAGGCTCCAATAGAATACGCTGCACTGCATATCGTCCTCAGGCTAATGGGATGGTAGAACGTTTTCACCATCAGCTAAAAACCGCCCTTATATCTCACTCGAACCCCAATCAGTGAACAGAATTCCTACTATTAGTTATGTTGAGAATACGAACATCTGTCAAAACTGACGCACAGTGTTCAGCTGCGGAACTGGTTTTCGGAACAACTCTGAGACTATCCGGTGAATTTGTTAACCCTAATACTAACAGTCAAAAACTTAATTTAGAAAATTACGTAGATCAACTACGGTCCGCTGGGCACATCCGATTAGTCAGTCAAGGATGTTGACAGTTTCGGCTGCAAGATAAAAGCTAACCACGTAGCTATTCAGACTCTGCTTTTGCTTTAAAATATTTTTCCCCACATTCCGCCTCACTTACAACTCCCTAGACTTTTTACCTTTGATATATAAGTGTGATGTCGAATATCTTTTTAAATACTGGACACATAAGCTAGGTATTCCGTAACGATGGCTGAGGATTTTAATCAAACCCATACAACTAACACTGGCAAATACAAAAAATTCAAAAAGCAACCCAGGCGAGTTTTATAATTTCTTTTTTGTGGTTAACTGATTATGTTGGCTGTACTTCTTATATATCTATATACATTTTTCACGTAGGCTGACTATACATATATACCATATGAACTACTTCTAAAACTTTTCGGTTGAGGATATGTTTAGTAGCTTGATGCCATTAATACTACTATTAATAAGTGGTGTTTAGACAAACCATTTTGGATTAAACCGTGGTCATGTACTTCTTAAGATTCTCATCATTTTTCTTTTCAGGTTTAGGAAAATTATACAATAACTTAACCAGTTTTCCTGAAGCATGCTTTTTAGTGTGATCATATAACCCATCTTTATTGGCAACATTCAAATTTTTTTTTAATTTCTGACATTTAAGAATCAATAACCATGAAGACATAGTACAGTGCGTTACTGTAAGGTTACTATGTTAGCTGCATTGATTCCACATACCTAATTTTAAACACAACTTATAAGGGAACTGTTAAGGAATCATAACATTGAACTGATATGAATATCATGGCTACGCTAACGTTAAACCAATTCTTATTAGTGGTCCATACAAAATCCTGGAACTTAACACTAGCGTTATAAAAAGACATGTTATGTCAATAACTTATATATATATATATATCGTTAGTTTAAGTATAATGTAAAATGGAAATTTACCAAACTTGTAGTTTTTTTTTCTATAGCATTATTATTAATATAAACGGCGAGACTCTAATTTAGGGACGACCTTTGAACGAATCTTAAATGGCCTTGACAATTATTAGCCAATCAGAAGACATTTAGTATAAAGTGAAAATATATTATAAGTCATGAATTACAGTGGATATTCTTCTTTTACATGATTTAAAAACCTGTTAAGGTTTGATAAAGGTTCAGAGGTTCTGAATTCATAATGCATATGGTATAGAAACTCGTCCATAGGGTTAGGGTTTAGGGTTAGGTTGGGGTTCATGGTTAGGTTAGGGTTAGGGTTTAGGGTTAGGGTTTAGGGTTAGGTTAGGGTTTAGGGTTAGGGTTTATGGTTAAGGTTAGGGTTGGGGTGCTAACATGAGATCGGTTTACAACGGATTTTAGATGTTAGGGTTAGGGTTGTAGCCTAGGGTTAGGGTTTAGGTTAGAGTTAGATTTGTAGCCTTTCAATAAACACCTCTTCTCTTAAATCCGATGTAAACCGATGTAAAAGAAGAATATCCACTGTAATTCATTACTTTCTTGTAATATATTTTTATTTTATACTGTCTTCTGATAGGCTAATAATTGAAATTGCTCAAACGCTTCTCACTGGCTCGTCCCTAAATTAGAGTCTCGCCGTCCCATATGTTGTAACCTCTCATTAATCACCTCCTCTCTAAAATCCGCTGTGAACCGATCGTATGTTAGCATCGCGCGTTGAACTTGGCTCTGTGACCTTGAAGTTGCTCAAACGCTTCTGATTGGCTCGTCCCTAAATTAGAGTCTCGCCATATAAACAAAGAAATTGTACTGTTCCAATATGGCACTTTGACACATTAATCTGTCCTCTTGTCAGTTTTCTCTCATATCTGAGCGACTTACGGGCATCAAACATCGTATTGAAGGTGGGTTTGGTGAACAAAAACGCAGGCCCCACACGCACTCGAACCTCTGCCCTCCTGAATGCTAGACCGCGTGCGTAGCCATTAAACCACATCAGGTCACGATGAAATGACTTCGATATTTCCTTACACCGATTAATCATCCGTAATACTAATGAGTAATAGGACTTACACACTTCTAAGGTGTAGACCAATTCGTTACTTGGATGAATTGACGAAATATTGCTTCATTATATCATGCATACCTAAATCAAACCAGAAAAGCGTCTTTGACACAAATGTACTTGATCCTCATACTCTACACAATTTTTTCCCTCCTTAACCGTATATTCTTTCCAATTTTGTGGTGTACTCTTATGTACCCTTGGTTACGTACCTGGTTATAAAAGGCGGTCGTCATAGGCTCAAGGTCATACATTTGACAATAAGTCCAACATCTAGCAAGTTTACACATTTACACATATGCATTATAAGAGTTTTTTTGTTTTCATACTTCTTTTTGCACAAGATGTCTACACTATGTCTATTTCCATCCAGAATAGCAATCCGTTCTGGAGGCCAAGCACTTACGTGGAACTGAATAATTATCAATCATATTTATGTATTTCCATTTTGTATCTTATTATTTTACACAGGCAGTGGATCAGTTCTTCAGGTTTGATTGATTTTCACCATTACCTTTGAAGTAGATTCTTCTTTACTTTTTACTTGAAGGCGACTCAAGAGGCAGGTGAGTAAACACTTGATAGCCGGTCTAAGCACGGAAAAGTCGTGCCTCACCAACATGGTGTTGAGTAGCCCGCTCGCGGAACTTCCTCAGATATTCTTGTTCCATATTCTCACACTCTTTCTCTTGAGAGCACGTAGCAAACCGTCAGCGATAGTTGTAGAAAAAATCACATGCTACAAAATAAGATGACAGGATATCAAATGAAGGGATATCCATGGACTATCGTTGATTGCTGACGGAATTAGTCGTCACTGATGAAGTCAAACAGTGAGGGAGTTGATAATTTTCGCTTGGGCTGGAAAAACAAAACTAAGGTGTTTTTGATAGCTAGGTTAATCGAACCGACGTTCCTACGGAAGTCGATTCTAGGGGGAAGCTAGTGTAATGGCCTAGGTTGGTTGGTTAGGAGTTGACCCCAAATAACCAAGCATATGCCTGAACAGTATAGTTCAAGTATTTATTCACTTCCTTAATTTGTATAGGTGTTATATTCCCTATTAACTTATATTGAATGTTGAGAGGTTTTGTTTGTCTGAATAAATAACTCCACGCTCCACTGTGACTGCGCGAAGATCGAAATAAAGACCCATTCACTATTTGTCTGCTTTCTTCTATCAATAGCATGAGGGTTACCTTAAGGCACGAGAACTCCTTATTATATCGTATTTAGTGCAGAGTCTCTTGGATTGATGTCGTTTTGGGGGCTCCTTCAAATTTTCTTGATGTAAAACCGATAATAACACAGGCTAGTTTCATAGTTGTATCGAATGTTCTGCTGTTCAAAATATTTAATGACCTTTTGTAACTAATTTCACACAGATTTATCTCATGTTATATCACTTCCGCAGGGTCGTATTCGAAATCTTATTTGTTTATACATCATGAAGCGATATAAACTGGAAAAACGTGGCGCATGTACACAAATCATATTAATCTAGGCATAAAATAGATGTTTCTTAATATCACCGTACGTAACACATTAACTAAAGCCAGACAATAAGCTTTTTGCGTCAACCTTTTACAAAACGGCTGAGTAAGGAATCTAAGCAAGGACACTTCTCCTGGCCTAGGTATGTTTTACTCTCTAATTCTGAGAGAAGTGGCCTTGCCCTTGGAAACACTGCCTAGTGTTGCATCCTCACATCCCCCATGTTGAAGCTTGATCTTAGTCAATTGAAAGCTAAAGCACATCATACCATTGTTCAAACGCCGCCGACTCAATGACTATTTATCCTTGGCCAATAGCTCTCCTCTTTATGTTCACAGTCATGGAGTCCCTGATATGAGACAGCCTGAGTGGCTACTTTTTACTTTCAAGATTCTTTACACCCCGACAACATGGTCTCAGGAAGGACTGCTCCTACATGACCAACCTAATGACTGGGGTTAACAGACGGACAAACATCCTTATTTGAAAGGATAGGTTGAGGCGACAAACCTTGATCTCTCTATAGGTTTTGATAGGGTTAACATAATGTCTCACCAAGCTACCAATAGTAAACTGGCTTACCTTATGGCTAAATAACCTATATTTTAGGCTCAGATTAAACTTCACTTTTTCTCAGCCTAAAGAATGTCTTCGTAGAACATCTCAGATTTCAGTGCTAGGACCTCTTCTCAATTTATATGAATGACCTTCCTCACAGATCTAGGTTTTGGAGCGTAGTATACAATCTGTATGGTAAAATGACAATTCAAGAGGACCTGACTCGACTTTAAAGATGAGCGGATTACAACGGACTTACTTTCAACTCTTCAAAGTGTAAAGTAGTCCATCTGAGACATTTTGCCAACTGCCTACATAACTTAAGCAAAGCTCCTATGTAGGTATCAAAAGTTAAAGAATATTTAAGAGTATTGGCACCCTAACGTCTAAAGTCCAAAACCAAATATGACAAAAATGTTTTTCAAGCAAACATTGCACTAATAACATTGGGGAGCACTTTTGGACAGTTCGACGGTGAACCTTTCTATTTGATCTTCAACACCATCCATGGTACGGAAACGTAGTGGTTCCTCCCTCATTCGGAAACGAAAAAGACATGTTGGAACGTATTCAACAGCGCTCCGTGAAAGCAGGTCGGGGATCAAATGTAAGCCTTATGAACAGATCCTCCAACCATCGAAAGTTTAACCATTAGAGTATGGGCGTCTTAAAAATGACCTTCTAATGAATTACAGAATCCCAAACTTTATTGGGTATCCCGTTAAACGCTTACTTATTCACAACCCCAACGCAAAGATTAGGAGCAACACCTTAAAATTGTCGCCATAACATGGCATAATAGACTGTAGGCACACATTCTAGTGCTAACGAGTAGCCATATTCTGAAATCCACTGCCAGATAAAGTGGTTCAATCGACTTCCTAGGAGTATTTCGTTGACAGACTTGACATGTTCTTAAGGACTCTGAATGGTATCTTAACATAATTTACTACTATTCCCTTTTCGTCTGTAATTTCCCATAGGTTTTTACTTGAATTCGTTGGTGGTTCGTTGCTGCTGCATACAGAGGCCTATTAGATGAAAGCCTATTCTAATCCGTCGACATCCATTTGAACAATTGGAACCTAGAAGTCTTTTATCTTTACCCGCTATATTTCGAAGTCCTGAGTAACCTTGGGGAAGTAACAGTGCTGTAAATCACCAACGTAGATGATCTATGTCGAAATGATTGGAGGCCTACTCGAGTTAGACGTGAATAGTGTGACGAACCAACTAACGTCGAAGTCACACCTCGTGGTCAGCACCTTACGTGGACTACCCCCATTGACGTAACAAGGTACTATAGATGCTTTGAAGACTGTACAACACAAAGGACGTTATTACAGAAATATATTAATTAAAGTAGATACAAGCGAAAGTAAGACCACTGCCGCATGGGCCAGTCCATGGCGTATGATTAACTAATGCGCGTTGCTTGTACATGACCTTGGCAGGGAGCGACGATCTGTTCGACATTCAGTGATCCAACTGCCGGATGATTTGGCTAGGGCTCAGTGACATTTCACTGGCCCTACAATACTCCCCCACCAGATTCAGCGGCCGTTTGAATCGGTACCAAACATGTTGGGAGCAATCGCGCGCCGGAGAGTGCCAAACGAATATTATAAATTCTCCAGGTATTGCTTATCTGTAAAACAAATGGAAAGGAGGCGGCAGAAACTGGTCGGGAAACAGCGAGTCATAATATGTTAGTAGGACGTTGCTTAAACGTAAATTGATTAACCATAGAAATAATGAAAAGAACAAAGCGTTTAACTGTTCTATCAAGTCGCGCTGAAATATATAGCTTTGACAAGCAATTCAGTTCCTCCGATGACGAACGTTAAGTCTGCCGCAAGAGTAATGATGCTATAGCAAAAAAAAAAAAAAAAAAAAAAAAAAAAAAAAAAAAAAAAATACTGTCATTAGTTTAAAGTTGTAAGTCGGACAGTGTCGTTGACAGCTATTAATTAGTGTCGAATTCTAGTTATATCTATATCTAACAGACTAACCGTAAGTACAGAAGTATAACAGTGAAGAGTGGTCGTTATTTCGTTGTGCGAAGCTATTGACCAACTTGTAGTCACAGTTTGAAAAGTCGATGACTGCTGTTACAGCCAGTAAGGGTTGAAGGCTACAAATCCACAGCAAAGGTGGCACGATGAAGTCTCTAAAAGATGATAAACGGTGAATGCTGCGTGATTGTTCGGTTAGTGAACAGAAAAATATCGAAAAGAACATAAGAAACCAAGAGTGTCACTCTGGACTCATGTCAATGATACCCGTGAAAAACGCTGTCAGTGTTGGGATAGAGGCGACAATATCGTTTTCAGTTTGCAGGAGATTCGCTCGACTGCATAAACTGATGATTCGCGCGAATGATATTGTCGTCAGACCACCAATTGAACTGGACAGGTTGTAAATCGTCGAGTAGTTGAACAGCCGATTGATGTACCGAAATCATCTGTTAAATAGCAGACACGAGGAAACAATGCTTCATAAAATAAAGTACGACATCGAAGTAGAATAACTACAATAGTTCAGATGTGTTACAATGTCAAGTCTAAATAACATCGTTCTTACGTATACTGACAGTTGCACTGAACGTTCGTTTAGGTATTATTAGCGTAATTGTTGGATGTGTGAATAAAAGCATATACGAAAACTACGGTTGGGTTCGTGGAGAATTTTCGAGGACGTTTAGATATTTTCCAAACCCGTATCGCATGTAAATAAACCGAAAATAGAATTAAAATGACTGTCGTGTAATAAAGAAATCGAGCCATGATTTACCGTGTGAATTAATAGCAAATACAAGGGGTATAATAAACATTAATTAAAATGGTAACCACCAATGTAACTAAGGTTTAGAGGGTCCAGGTAACGTGGCCATTTCGTAAAAGGCTGATACAAAGAGCTTATTACCTAGCGTTAAGTGACATATTAAGTACGACAACGTGTGTACTTGGGACATGGACTAAGCGTGCTCGTGTACATGCAATATGTTTTACCACAGTATATCGACTAACGAGTCATAAATGTACATGATTTCGACTAAAACTTGACGGCAGTGACAGAATATATGACTAGTTTACGTGAAAGCAACTACGAAATGTTATCACGCATCATAAATATAGTACGAAATAATCTAATGAAATTATGGAACTCGCCTGGGTTAATCTTGCCTTTAAGTAATGAAGTAGGCAGTAGTTTGAATCTGGATTATGTACGAGGTACTGTTGATTAAATTTTTCGATTAACACAGCGTTGTAGACTGAATTTGTATAAGTCCAGAATTAATGTAAGCCGAATACATAGCATTACCTGACGAAAAGTCTAAATGAGATCTAAGATCGCAGGAAATTTATAGTTCAAACTCACCGTAAATTTCTAGCATTCGTATCCTCTGTTTGGCCATGGAACTCAGCAATTGGAAATTAGGCAGGCAGTGGTAAAAAAAGGCAAAAAATTCTAGTGGATAGTGGTTAAGCAGAAAGATGAATTTATAGTCGATAGTTAATTTTGTCTTATTTATACCAGTGGATAAGGTACAAAGAGATATGCGTTCGTGTTGCCTTGTGGCTATACTCACGAGTGGTTGATATTTTAACAGACGTATTACACAGGAGCATTTACATGCTGCTAATGCTTGTTAAAGAACCACGATAGCCGATTATAATCGTAGTTGATTGGTTAGTTCTGTCGATTGAACGAATTATCTAGGTTTAAATGCTAATCAACATTGACATGAAGCAACGAAAGTTCACAGTAACAGATTAACATAGGCGATGATAAAAATGAAAAAGAATAAGTATAGAGTACAATAATAAAGATTATAGTGATAGGTTGCGTTACTCGAAGTCTTGCTCACCAGTGTAAATCACCAACGTAGATGATCTATGTCGAAATGATTGGAGGCCTACTCGAGTTAGACGTGAATAGTGTGACGAACCAACTAACGTCGAAGTCACACCTCGTGGTCAGCACCTTACGTGGACTACCCCCATTGACGTAACAAGGTACTATAGATGCTTTGAAGACTGTACAACACAAAGGACGTTATTACAGAAATATATTAATTAAAGTAGATACAAGCGAAAGTAAGACCACTGCCGCATGGGCCAGTCCATGGCGTATGATTAACTAATGCGCGTTGCTTGTACATGACCTTGGCAGGGAGCGACGATCTGTTCGACATTCAGTGATCCAACTGCCGGATGATTTGGCTAGGGCTCAGTGACATTTCACTGGCCCTACAGTGCGTTCACAGCATCATTGTTTTCTCTTCACCTTCTAGATCTTCTTAGGATTATGATTACAAAATTTAATAGGAACAGATCTCATATTTGAATTTGCCGTCACAACCGCATAAACAGAATTGTCTTTGCCTTATGAGCCAATTAGGCTCGGTGTATATACAAATATTTGTTAACTTAGCTAGTTGCCTTATCTATAGACATTAAGATAGAATTAGATTGAGACAGTAAATCATGATTTTCTGTAGCAAATACCAAGTGCAACATTAACTTTTGGCCAAACTATCTGTAAGAGTGAGTTCATAATGATTAAAGTATATATGCTTTAACTACATCACTACTTTACAATAAAATTAAGAGTTGGGAGTAAATTTCGTCTTAGTTTGCGAAGTCATGGAGATTTTATGAATAATGTAAGGGGTTAATTTAATTTTTATAACAAGACGTCTTACAGTTTGAGTATGGTGAATCTCAGTGTTCAAGAAACGTTATCTACTTCGGTAACTTTTCGCGCTTTCGTATATTTACTACTTAAAAGTTAGCGAATCTGACGATAAAATCCCTTAGTTTTGTGGTTCAGAAATTCCTAAGCACTTGTAATATTGGTTTAAAAAGAATAACGTAACTGGTTTCTATTTGAGCTGCACGTTCTAAGTGCTGCTGTCCTTACTAACAGTGCGTCACAATTCAGGCCTTTGATCTTAATTTGTATAAGTGAAAAACATGTTGTTGCGAAGACTACTAACTAGCCAACTTATTTTTAATGTCAATCAGTCAGTCAGTAACAACGTAGAACTTCGTACGTACGTACATCAGTTCGAGCTGCCACACCACATTAGCACGGAGATGCAGTGGTCGATTCAAACCCCGTAGTGCTAGATGTAGTAAAATTATAAGCTGCAATCAGAAAAATTAGGGTTTGAAGATGTTATTCAAGGAGTATAATCCAGTGAAATAAATTTGGAAAGAGAAAAGGAAAGGGACATGAAGAAATCAGAAGATTAGAATTTGCGAGAACACAAAGAGTGGGTGCACCTGGGCCATTGCAAACGATTTTGAGCCATGTCATTCAAGGTCTCTAACCATCGGTTGCTATCATCTCGCGGTCCCCAATCAGGTAGTCTACACCTACCAACATGACTCAGTCCACTTGTCAGTGACTTCATGGATTTGTGCCATGTTTTGGTCTGGCCGCCCCTAGCTTTCTTCCAATCTATTCCTATACCACTGAACATCGCACGTCGAGGCAGTCGGTCGTTGGGCATACGTAACACGTGTCCAAGCCATCTCAACTGATGAAGTTTCACCACTTCATCAATCGACTTGCCATCCTTACCTAGTACCCGTTTCCTAACAACTGCATTACTTACTCGATGGTCCCACGATATACGAGCAATATTTCGAAGACATCTATGATCAAATACTAGTAACCTACGGATATCCTCTACTCTTACCGGCCATGTTTCACTGCCATAAAGTAGGACGGAACGAACTGCTGCGCAGTGAACACGTCCTTTGGTTGATAGACGGATATCTCGCCTACGCCATAAATGACGCAAGTTGGCAAAAGCTACTCGAGCCTTCTGTATCCGTGCTGAGATTTCGTCACACACCAGACCACAAGGGCTGATGAGACTTCCAAGATAAGTGAAGTGGTCGACAGGCTCAACTACTTTACTCCCTATAATTAGTTCGGGTGTCAATGTAACCCAATCCTGAAGTAACATTTTGCATTTCGGTGGGGAGAATCTCATCCCGAACATGCTTGCATTGTTGCTTAGATTGGTCAGAAGACTCTGCATTTTGTCAGCGTCTTCATTAAATGGAACTATGTCATCGGCATATTCTATGTCAAAAAGTGAATCTTCCGGTAGAAATTCAACCCCTGGAAA